CCTTGGACTGCAAGGAGATCCAACCAGTCCATCCTAAAGGAAATCAGTCCTGGATATTCATTGGAAGGACTGATGCTGAAGCTGAAACTCCAATACTTTGGTCACATGATGCGAATAACCGATTCACTGGAAAAGACCCTGATGATGGGAAATATTGAAGGCAGGAGGAGAAGGGAATAACAGGATGAGATAGTTGGATGGCATCACCAACTAATGGACATGAGTTTGAGCAAGCTCCGGGAGTTGGTGATAGACAGGGAAGCCTAACATGCTGAATTCCATGGCGTCTCAAAGAGTCGGACATGGCTGGATGACTGAACTGAACTGAACTGAAACTCATGAGGCAGGGATTTCTTTTGTCCATATTCATATACTTAGCAAAGGATATGAAAGGCACATAAATGATCATTCATAGATGATGGTAGTTGGCCAATTATAGGCCAGGTATTTTTAAAACTTATTTATTTTTAATTCAAGGATAATTGCTTTACAATGTTGTGTTGTTGATCCAGTTTGAAGTTCTGGAAGTTCTCATACATCTACATGAATCAGCTATAGGCATACATATGTCCCCACCTCTTGAACCTCCCCCCCATCTCTGACCCCACCCCACCCCTCTAGGTTGTCACAGAGCACTGGGTTGAACTCCTTGTGTCATACAGAAAATTCCCACTGGCTATCTCTTTTACATATGGTAATTGTATATGTTTCAATGTTACTCTCTCAATCTGGTCCACCCTCTCCTTCCCCTACAGTGTCCACATGTCTCTCCCCTATTCTGTGTCTCTATTCCTCCCCTGTGAGTAGATTCATCAGTACCATTTTTCTAGGTTCCATATGTATGTGTTAATATATGATATTTTTCTCTTTCTGATTTATTCACTCTGTATTACAGGCCCTAGTTTCATCCACCTCACTAGAATTGACTCAAATTTGTTCGTTTTTATGGCAGAGTAATATTCCATCATATATATATATATATGCACCACAAGTTCTTTATCCATTGATCTGTTGATGAACATCTTGGTGCCTCCATGTACTAACTATTGTAAATAGTGCTGCAGTGAGCATATATCTTTTACAACTGTGATTTTCTTAGGATATATACCCCATAGTGGGATTGCCCAGTCATATGGTAGTTTTATTCCTAGTTTTTTAAAGACATCTCCATACTGTTCTCCATCATGGCAAGATGAAAAGAAAACCCTCAGAATGGGAGAAAATCATTGCAAATGAAACAACTGACAGAGGATTAATCGAAGTAATATAAAAGCAATTCATGTAACTCAATATCAGAAAAACAAAATACGCAATCAAACAATGGGCTGAAGACCCAAACAGACATTTCTCCAAAGAAGACATTGTTGTTGGTGGTGGTGTTCAGTTGCCAAGTTGTGTCTGACAATTTACAACCCCATGGACTGCAGGATGCCAGGCTTCCCTCTCCCTCACCATCTCCCGGAGTTTGCCAAAGTTCATGTCCATTGAGTCGGTGATGCCTTCCAACCATCTCGTCCTCTGTCGTCCCCTTCTCCTCCTTCCCTCAGTCTTTCCCAGCATCAGAGTCTTTTCCAGTGAGTCAGCTTTTCTCATCAGGTGGCCAAAGTAAAACTAATAAAATGATCCAAGTAGAATGTAAAAAAAAAAAAGAAAGAAAAGACTTCTCCATCCACACAGCACTGATGATAAAACATCTAGGTTAATGGTGAAAAGATTATCCACAATGAGGGACACCCAGGGAGGTTCACAGAGTTACATAGAGAAGAGAAGAGGGAGGAGGGAGATAGAAGTGACCAGGAGAAGAAGAGGGTGGGAATCAAAAGGGGAGAGAGCAATCTAGCCAATAATCAATTCCCTATTAGTTGTCCACAGTCTGGAACATTCAGAGAGGTTCATGGAGTTCCATAGAGAGGAGAAGGAGGAGGAAGGAGATAGAGGTGACCAGAAGGAGAGGAGGGGGAATCAAAAGGAGAGAGACCAGTCTAACCTGTGGTCAGTTCCCTAAGTGTTCTCCCCAGCCCGAACACCCAAAGAGATTCACAGAGTTAAGTAGAGAAGGGAAGGGGGAGGGAGGAGATAGAGGTGACCTGGGGGAGAAAAAGGAGAGTCAAAAGGGGAGAGAGCAATCAAGCCAGTAATCACACTCCTAAGTAAAAATGGGTACTGAAGATTGGATTCTTAAAGGTACAGAATTGATAACAAATACCAAAAAGCAAAGATTAAAAATCTAGAGTAGAGGTTAGACTCTCAAAAATACAGTATTAAAAAAAAAAACAAAAATTGCAAAAGTTATAAAAAAAATGAAATTTGCTTTAAAAATAGGGTCTTTTTTTGCAAGGTAATAGTAGGTTTTAAAAATGAAAATTACAGGAGTAATAAAGAACTTTAAAAAGTTTAAAAAATTAAAAAATGATAATAGTAAAATATATCTAAGAATTTCTCTGGAGCTGTTGAGGGCACTGTGGTGTCAATTCAGTTTCAGATAGTTCCTTGTTCCAGCTTATACTTCTTCTCAAGGACTATAGGTCCCTTCCAATGTAGCCAATGCTTACTACAGGGTTTTAATCTGTTGTACCTGTCACTTCTAAAGTGGTTCCCTCTTCTTTGTTTATTTTGGCTTCCTCTGTTTTCAAGTCTCTTCAGCGTCTAATTTCTGCCCTGACACATGGGTGCGAAGGTGGTCACTTATTTAGACTCACTTGTTCAGTCGTGCTGTGGGAGGGAGGAACACTGCAAACGAATATCACTGGTGTGTGTGGGGCATGCTTGCAGTGTCTGGGCCACACTAGGTTTGCCCCCGCTCACGGCGTGTGTGCTTTCCTGGTCTGCACTGCTTAGGCTCCAGGTTGCTCTGCAGGCGAACTGTCTAAGGTGGGCCCTGGGTTGTATGCACTTCCCAGGTCTAAGCCAGTCAGGTTCAGGTTTTCGGGTACTCCACAAAGGCACAGACTCGGTTTGGCCTGCGTTTTGTGCCCTTCCCAGGTCTGAGCAGCTCGGGTGACCAGTTGCTTGGCTAGCGCGCTCTCCCCATGTGGGGCGGTGCATCCTATCACCTCCGTGGTCCTGGCTGCTCTGTTTCCCAGTGCACAGCGGGAGCACTGTCACAGGTATGCCGTGTGTCTCCTCTGGGGAGCTGATCTCTGGCTGCAACCCTCCTGGCAGATGTCAACCATCCAGGATCCCAGGAAAACTTGGTTAGCAACTGGGAGCCTGCTCGCAGTTTGGTAGAGGATGCCGTCTCTGAGACCGAGTTTGCCCCTTTCCTTCCGGCTCTGGCTGGCACCTGCCTGCCTCTCTTCCTCCAGCGGAGAATGGGCCAGTCCACTGCTGGCTAGCTTTCCTCTGGTATTAGCTCAGTCCTTTGTTCTGTGAGTGGGCCCAGCAGTGCCTTAGGTTAGAGCTTTTCTTGGGAAAGTTCTGTCTCTCTTTCCTCTTTTTTTTTCTTCCCTCTCTCTCTGGCTGTCCCACAGTTTGGGTTGCTATCTCATGTTAGCTCCCTCAGATTGCCCTCAGGGCATTCAGGCCCAGTCCTTACCCTAAGCACTGCAGCCCGTGCCTCCCTGTTCAGCCCCTGCTTGCTGGTGGCAGACTTGAGCGTCTGGGCTACTTGTCGGCTGGGATTTGCAATTAGGTGCGTAATCTGTGGGTTTTATTTTTTCCTCTCAGTTATGTTGCCCTCTGAGATTCCAAATCTCCCCAAAGACCCGCTGGTGAGAGGGTTTCCTGGTGTTTGGAAACTTCTCTTTTACTACTCCCTCCCCAGGATGGGTCTCCGTCCCTAACTTTTTTGTCTCTCTTTTTATCTTTTATATTTTGTCGCACCTCCTTTCAAAGACAATGGGCTGCCTTTCTGGCTGCCTGGTGTCCTCCGCCAGCATTCAGAAGTTGTTTTGTGGTATTTGCTCAGCGTTCAAATGATCTTTTGATGAATTTTTTGGGGGAGAAAGTGGTCTCCCCGTCCTATTCCTCTGCCATCTTCCATTTTGGGGTTTTGATGAATGCGGTTTCCTTGTTTTTATGTGATGTGGCCATGGAACCTAAGCCAAGTATCATGACTCCTTGTTTGAACCCCCCCTCCGCCCGCACACCAATTTGTTTGTGACCTTTTATGTAGTATGCATTTATATAGAAAAAACAGAAGAATCTATCACATACCCTTCAATTAAATGAAAATTGTCCATCATTTCCAGTTTGTGGGATTAATCTTAAATAATAATTATATAGTTCTAGCAAAAATCATGAGAGACCTCATAAAACCCCATCAAACATAGTGATAGTAAATACATTTTAGGTAAATAAGATAACTAAGGGTTTAGTAGTTAACTTTTAAATGGTTTATCACCTTTGTTTATTTTTGTATTTGATTCAAGAAAATGGCCAGAACTATTGAGGTCTTCTCTATGCTTTTAGACTTTGAAAAATATTAGTGGTCCTATTCATTTTGAGGGTTCATTTTTATGAGACCAAATTTGAATTTTTAAAAAACTTAGCTCTTGTTTCAAAAATTTTCAAATTGATCTCTATTTGGTCTTTAAAACAAATTAATCCAGTCTTCAATAACATTGGTGAAGAGTGTAAATTTGGTTGATACCATTGTGCATTCATAAATATATAAACTTGTTTTCAATAAAATAATGAAACAAGAATTGTTGTATCTCTTTCCCCCCTGCCTGCCAACAGTGAAAATTAAAAGGCAGAATTGGAAGGAGACTTTGGATTATTTGATGGCTTACTCATGGGCTTTTGGATATTTTTATGTCTAGGTGACTGGGTGGATTTTGGTATAGATTTTTAGCCTATAATTTGTTAAAAGTACTTACTGGTTACATCCTATGTCAGAGGCACTGTGTTATTCTCTGTGGTCAGGGTGCCATATAAAAGAGAGTTCTTACCATCATAGGACTTACAGACAGTTGGAGTATGGATGACTTTAGGGAGGACTTCCTTAAATGTTTGCACTTAAACATGAAGGGTGAGCTAAGGGCACTGCAGGTGAAGAAGGGGGAAGAGTGGGCTCTGGGCAGAGGGGACAGCAGATATGCTGCAGTGTCCCTCTCTGATAGGGAGTTTGGAGCAGGGGAGGCATGTGAACTTCAGGTCATGGTGGCTGGACTGCAGAGAGCCAGGCCCTGAGGATACAGCTGTAGCAGAAGGTGGGGAACAGATCATGGGCAATGATGATGTGTTTGAAGCAGGAAAGGACACAATCAGATTTGCTATTTGAAACGGTCATGCTGGTTGCTGAACTGAGAGTAGGTTTTGAGGATGGAGGGTGGAAACTGAAAAGCATATCATGGCAGAGTGGATCACAGCCATGGGAGGCTGGCACTGGGAAGTGATGGTGGAGGAGGAGACATGGGGACTTGCAGGAGAGAGATTCAGCAGTGAATGGATGGCCTTGGTAGTTTTTGGAAGTGTTAGCTTTCTACACAGCTCGACTCCTTCTTGATAAGGCATCAGTGTATAATTGTAGTCAAGTCACTGATTGGTCAGCTAGAAAGAGAAATCTTATCTTGGTTAAAACTCCTCTTGGGGCTGGATTGAGGGATGGTACAAATTTGGAAATGTGTTTTGCTGAGGGTTTTTTTTTTTAAAACCAAGGAAAGGGTGAGACGACTTGGTATAGTCAGAAAAATCACTGGGGCTCAAGGTTTGTCCCACCTGCTCTCAGTGAAATGCAGACCAGAGGAAGCAGAGGAACGATCTAAGGTGCTTGTGCTCAGCTGTGTGTGGCAGCTCTTTCTTGGTGGCCACTACTTTACCAAGAGGGAAGTTGGCATTTCAAACCCTGGTGGTGATGGGAGGGTGAGAAAGGATTGAAAGCAACACCCATCCATGTTTTAACATTTGATTAACAGTATTTTTAAAAACATGCCATTAAAATTTTGATTTCTTAATAGCTGGTCTTGACAAACTTGATTTGTAGCTTCTGTTTACTGTCTACCCCAGTCTGCTTTTCCTCTTTGGACTATTGACAATTTCCTTAGCTATTCAGACATTTCTTTTTTACTTACTTTGTGACAAAAGTGGTGAAACAGAATCTGCTTCTAAGAAATAGTGGGAGTGTTCAGTGTTAGCTTAACAGGTAGCATGATTTTTCTTATGCTGATCCACTCATCTACCAGCAAACAACTGCTGTCTCTGCACTTACTATGTTGAAATACACCCATAATGTAATTCTTATTTCATTGTTATAAATCAGTAAGAACTTGTGCTCTTACATATGTTATTCCTGCTCACCAAAAGGAATGAGTATTTCATAAAATTTTCTTCAACACACAGCATTGTAAGATCTTTATTTACTTCAATAGTGAAAGTGAAAGTGAAGTCACTCAGTCGTGCCTGACTCTTTGTGACCCCATGGACTGTAGCCCACCAGGCTCCTCTGTCCATGGGATTTCCCAGGCAAGAATACTGGAGTGGGTTGCCATTTCCTTCTCCAGGGGATCTTCCCGACCCAGGAATCGAACCCAGGTCTCCTGCATTGCAGGCAGGCGCTTTAACCTCTGAGCTACCAGAGAAGCCCATTTACTTCAATAGTAATAGCTAAAATGGAGTATTTCCTCAGTTAATGTTTATGGTATGCAAACTATCACCATAGTCACTGCCATTTAAAAATGTTGCTAGTATCATAGTTAAAACTGAAGTATTGTGATACTGATGGTTAAGGTGGAAAGTGACTTCTGTGTTTTTAATCTAACATGAAATGCCGACAGCATGGACTCTCCAGCAGGACTGCTGGCAGTTCAAATTCCTGTTCTTCATTTACTGACTCTTTGACATTGACTAAGGTGCTTCACTTCACTGTTCCTTAGTTTTATTGTGTGTAGGGTAGGCATGGTAGAAGTACCAGCTTGTATATGTAAAAACATGAAATACTACCTCAGCATGATGAGTGCCATCTCTAGTATAGGAACTGGCTGATTTTGTTGTTCTATTTATGAAGCACAGAAAAGCTGCAAGGAAACAATGATCACTATGACTAAAGTATATATTCTTATGTATTCTTTTTGTTTCTTTTTAGCCTTTCCTAAGCCCAAGTGGGAGTGTGCATTATTTGATTCTTATTCTGAGTCAATACCAGCAAACCAACAACCCCGTGACTTGAATCGGATGGAGGTAAAAAATCATCATGTTAGTAAGTAAGGATGTGTATACACTTAAATCTGTTAGCTGATGTTTTTTACAAGCTCTGGGAAATCTGCTTCATAACGTTTTCTCTTCATACTTAGTACTTTAAAGCTCAGCAGTTCAGATTTAGACACCAGATATATCTGTAATTATCCTTTTTTTCTTTTCTTCCTAAAACTAGATTTGGAGAAAAAAGCAAAGTAGCCTCTTGACCTTTTAGAGGTGAAATTTAGGTATTGCCAAACTAAGCCAAAAAAATGGATTATAGGTTATTTACTTTAACCAAACTTTAATTCTGAAGTAAACATTGTAAAGCTGTATTTTTAGCAAGCTGGGTATTAACAGGGTATAATGAATCAGAAGAGTTTTGAGAAGAAGTTTGAGAGCTGTATACGAGGGCCCCAAATCACATTGAAAGCTGCCTAATTTGAATGATCCTTAAGAGAAACCTGAAAAACTCCTTTAGGGCGCCCGTGCTCACGTGACTTCGGCATGGCGGCGTTTGCCGATTTGGACCTACGGGCGGGTTCCGACCTGAAGGCGCTGCGCGGGCTCGTGGAGAACACTGCCCACCTGGGCTATTCAGTGGTTGCCATCAATCATGTTGTTGAATTTAAGGAAAAGAAACAGGAAATTGAAAAACCAGTAGCTGTTTCTGAACTCTTTACAACTTTGCCAATTGTACAGGGAAAATCAAAACCAATTAAAATTTTAACTCGACTAACAATTATCGTTTTGGATCCATCACACTGTAATGTTTTGAGAGCAACTTCTTCAAGAGTCCGGCTGTATGATATTGTTGCAGTTTTTCCAAAGACAGAAAAACTTTTTCATGTTGCTTGTACACATTTAGATGTGGATTTAGTCTGCATAACTGTAACAGAGAAGCTACCATTTTATTTCAAAAGACCCCCTATTAATGTGGCAATTGACCGAGGAGTGGGCTTTGAACTTCTCTATAGCCCTGCTATCAAAGACTCCACGATGAGAAGGTACACAATTTCCAACGCCCTCAATTTAATGCAGGTCTGCAAAGGAAAGAATGTAATTATATCTAGTGCTGCAGAAAGGCCTTTAGAAATAAGAGGCCCATACAATGTGGCAAACTTAGGGTTGCTGTTTGGGCTGTCCGAAAGTGATGCCAAGGCTGCAGTGTCCACCAACTGCCGAGCAGTGCTTCTGCATGGAGAAACTAGAAAAACTGCTTTTGGAATTATTTCCACGGTGAAGAAACCTCGGACATCAGAAGCAGATGATGATTCTCTTCCAGCCTGCAAAAAAGCCAAGTGTGAGAGCTGAAAAGAACCCTCCATCTCGGTCAACACTCTGCCCTTTCAGAGTCCATCAGCCGCTCTGAACAGAAACGGAACCCCTGTATGCTTCACTGTTTGCACTTGGAGCCAGATGTCACTAGTCTATAAAAACAATCTTATATTCAAGCCATTAAAATAACAAAACCTAGTAAAGCATCAAAAAAAGACTGTCCCCGTAATGAATTTAGATATATTTTAGGAGAAAAACAAAGACTAGTTTGTTTATCCTTTGCATTAAGTGATAAATGGCAGGTATACTTGAATAAGATGTTTTAATACAAGAGACTCTTTAAAAATGTTTCTTGTTCATTTTGAAGTGCACGCTTTTCAGCTTCACTTGGTATACATGGCTTATTATTTTTTAGTTTTACTACTCAAAAAGTGATTATTTTGAGGACTAATAAAACTTTTGTTAAGGGGTTGACTTTTTAGTTGATCTTTTGTTTTAAGCCTCTCTTTCATTATGTTCATGAAGTCCAAGTCCTTTCTAAGAGGAATTGCTATAAAATTTGTGGAAGGAAAGGGAAGGTGCACATAAAATCACACTTGGCCTCTTCCTTTGCTGCTTCTTACCTCCATGATATCCTTAAAATAGGATTCCTCTGAGTTGGAAGCCCCTGAAAACCCAATACTGATTTTTATAAAACTATAGTAAAAATCTCAAAGTACTGGATTCAACCAATTTTATAAATAATTTTTTTAATAGTGGGATCGTTATGTTAAATAGAAATAGCCTTTTTTTTTACAGGTATCTGCATTAGAGCTATATTGATACTAAGAAAATTGGAGAAAGCTTTATACCGAACTTACCTATGAATTTAGATGCTTACATAAAATATTGGCAAAACAGTGTATCCAGGTGAGATTTATTCTAGAAATGTAAGTGTTTCAGTTCTTTTCAGTGTACTATACTTTATCATATTAATAGGTCAAATTAGATAAATCAGAATCATCTTAATAGATGCAAATAAGACATTTAATAAAACATGAAATCTACTCCTAATTTAAAAAATAATAAAAGCCCTTAACAAAATACAAGTATAGGGATACTTCATACATACATGCATATGTTTGTTTCTATTTATATACTGTATTAAGCATCATGATTCTAAAATAAAGCATTTTTTACTCCCCCCAAACAAACAAACAAAAAAACTCCTTTAATGATGGGCCATTGATGGGCTTAGACGTGTGCTTAGGGGTCCTTGTGGTTATTGTTAATATCAGCACTATCATCACCATCACCACTGTTATAATTGCCGTGATGACAACTTACGATATCTGTTGTTCCCACCCTGATAAAAGTCTGGAAGTATTTCATAAATGGAGGTTTGTTCATAGGCTTCTATTACCGTGCTCTGACGTTGCAAGATGATAGAGATCAAAGGCAAGATACAGGGCCATTTACAAAATTTCTTGTGATGATGTGTGATTATTTATTCTTCCCCCATGAGGCTCTGGTGCCTGTAGTGTGTGTTGTGGTTGCCATCCTCTCTGAGCCAGTCCAGCCCGCTTCTGCATCATTCTCTCTGATAACATCTCTCTCAGCCTCTCTGCTACTTTTTTTGTGTGTGTTGTAGCCTCTGTGCTCCTTTGTTTAGCAGATTTCTCCTCTTGGGAAAGAGATAAAGTGATTTTAGGTGGAGTGATAGATGTGCATTCAAAGACTTTTGGCTTTTTCAATTTCTTTTTCTGTAGATTGTGTATGATGGTGAAGCAGACATGATTGTCAGCCACTTTTCATAGCCCCCAGTGTATTCTGGGTCACTGGCAGTGTCTGTAGAAGTTTGTCTGTCAGGCCAGGATGCTATAACTCTTATGCAGTTGCCCTGGTTTTTGTTTTTTTTGTTTTATTTTTAAATTAAATTTTTTTTTTTTTTTGCTATGGGTAGCCTTGCTTGTGTAAAATTATGTTGTTGTTAGGTGATTTACTAAAAAAATGTCTTAATTCATATTCTTTCTGGTTAAACATTTTATTCCATCTTGCTATGGTATCATATAGTCTTCGCCTTTCCAACAGAGACATTATTTCAGGTTTTTTTTTTTTTGAGAAATTAATTACTGACTCATGTTGCTTTTCCCCATTTACTCACTTCAGTTCAGTTCAGTCACTCAGTCGTGTCTGACTCTTTGTGACCCCATGGACTGAAGCACGCCAGGCCTCCCTGTCCATTACCAACTCCCGGAGTTTGCCCAAACTCATATCCATCGAGTCGGTGATGCCATCCAACCATCTCATCCTCTATCGTCCCCTTTTCCTCCTGCCCTCAATTTTTCCCAGCATCAGGGTCTTTTCATATGAATCAGCTCTTTGCATCAGGTGGCCAAAGTGTTGGAGTCTCAGCTTCAACATCAGTCCTTCCAATGAACACCCAGGACTGATCTCCTTTAGGATGGACTGGTTGGATCTCCTTGCAGTCCAAGGGACTCTCAAGAGTCTTCTCCAACACCACAGTTCAAAAGCATCAATTCTTTAGCGCTCAGCTTTCTTTATAGTCCAACTCTCACATCCATACATGACTACTAGTGTACTCACTTATCATCTGTTTAAAAGGAAAGGGCCAGATATACAGATGGCTGTCAAACCTGGAACTGGAGATATTTTAAACACAATAATGCATGCTTGAAGTTTATTTTATTTTTGGCTGTGCTGCATGTTTTGTGGGATCTTAGTTCCCTGACTAGGGATTGAACCCAGGTCCCTGGCAGTGAAAGCTTTGAGTCCTAACCACTGGAACACCAGGGAAGTCCTCATGCTTGGAGTTTAAATAGAACTTGGTATCAGCAGCCCTGTGAGGGATGACTCCATGCAGGTGTTTGTTGTGAATGGAGCTATAGCTGATTCAGGTCTTGAGAAGTTTGCTCAGCAGTACATCTTTTTTAGAAGATAGCAGAGCTGTACCATGTACTTATTTCCATCAAGAAGTAAAGATTACAATTTCAAGTATATGTGTCTTTAGCCATGTTTCTTAGGTTACTGAATTGCTTTTTTTGTAAACAGGCTTATTGAGATATAATTCACATACCACATTCAGCTAAGGTATACAATTCAATGGTTTTGAGTATATTGACAGTTGTGCAACTGTCACTATAGTCTAATTTTAGAACATCTTCATCACTCCAGAAAGAAAACCTGTACCCATTAGCAGTCATCAACTGTTCTCCTCTTGCCCCAGCCTCTAGTAATCACTGAGCTATTTTCTGTCTCTAGAATTTACCTATTCTGGACATTTCATATAAATAGAAACATATAACATGTGGTCTTTTGTGACAGGCTTCTTTCATTTAGTATAATGTTTGTTCTTTGATCTTCCAGTTTTATTGAGATATAGTTGATGTATTTGTTGTTGTTGTTGTTGTTATTTAGTCTCTAAGTCATGTCCAGCTCTTTGTGACCCTGTGGACTGCAGCATGCCAGGCTCTTCTGTCCTCCACTGTCTCCCAGAGTTTGCTCAGATTCACGTCCATTGAGTTGGTGATGCTATCTAACCATCTCATCTTCTGCCACCCTCTTCTCCTTTTGCCTTCAATCTTTCCCAGCATCAGGGTCTTTCCTAATGAGTCAGCTCTTCACATCAGGTGGCCAAAGTATTGGAGCTTCAGCATCAGTCCTTCCAATGAATATTCAGGGTTGATTTCCTTTAGGAGTGACTGGTTAGGTATCCTTGCAGTCCAAGGGACTCTCAAGAGTCTTCTCCAGCACCACAATTCAAAAACATCAATTCTTTAGCTCTCAGCCTTCTTTATGGTCCAACTCTCATATCCGTCCATGGCTACTGGAAAAAGCATAGCTTTGACTATATGGACCTTTGTCAGCAAAGTGATGTCTCTGGTTTTTAATATGCTCTCTAGGTTTCTCATGGCTTGCCTTCCAAGGAACAAGCGTCTTTGAATTTCATTGCTGTAGTCCATGTCCACGGTGATTTTGGAGCCCAAGAAAATAAAATCTGTCACTGCTTCCATAGTTAATGTATACAACTGGATAAGTTTAAGGTCTATAGCCAAATGATTTGACTACGCACATTTTGAAATGATCACAATAACTTTAGTGAACATCCATCATCTCCTATAGAGACACCATTAAAGAATTAGGAAAGAATATTTTTTTCTTGTGATAAGATCACTTTGTATGATATTTTAAAGTTCATTTGCAGTGTAGCATGTATCAGTGCTTTATTCCTTTTCATTGCTGAATATTATTCCATTGTCTGGATAGAACACATTTTGTTTCTCCATTTTTTAGCTGATGGAAATTTGGGTTGCTTCCACTTTTGGGCTGTTAGAAAAAATGCTGCTATGAATATCCATGTACAAGTTTTTGTGTGGACACATGTTTTCACTTCTCTTGGGTATAAACTGAGGAGTAAATTAATTGGATCACATTATACCTTGTGTTATACTTTTTCAGGAACTAGCAAACTACTTTCCAAAGCAGCTATACCGTTTTACATTCCTCTACCAGTGATGTATGAGGGGTCCAATTTCCCCATATCCTTGTTAACTTTGTTTACTATCTCTCTTTGTTTTTAGCCATCCTAGTGGGAATAAAGAAGTATCTCACTGTGGTTTTTATTTGAATTTCCTAATGACTACTGATATTAAGCATCTTTTTGTGTGCTTATTAGCCATTTGTATGTCTTCTTTGGTGAAATATCTATTCTTATCTCTTGTCCATTTATAAACTGGGTTGTTTGAGTTTTAAGTGTTCTTTATATATTCTAGATGTAAGTTTCTTATTAAATACATAATTTGTAAGTATTTTTCTTTGTTTGTCTCCTCTTTCTTGATAGTATCCTTTGTAGGACCAATGTTTTTTATTTTGATGAAATAGAATTTATCTAATTTTTTTCTTTTTTTACCTGTGCTTTTGGTGTCATGTCTAAGAAACCATTGCCTAATACAAAATCTTGAAGATTTATTCCTGTTTTCTTCTAAGGGTTTTATAGTTTTAGGTCTTACATTTAGGTTTGTGATCCATTTTAAGTTAATTTTTATAGAGATTGTGAAGAAGAGGTTCAACTTCATTCTTTTGTATATGGATATCAAGTTGTTTCAGCATCATTTATTGAATAGACAGTTTCTCCCCTACTCAATTGTTTTGTACCCTTGTTGAAAATCAGTTGACCACAAATGTAAGGGTTTATTTATGGATTCTCAATTCAGTTCCATTGATCTATATGTCTGTCATTATGTAAGTACTATACTGTCTTGATTCCTGTGAGTTTTTGCTCTGTTGTTCTTTTTCAAGAATATTTTTGCTATTTTGGGTCCCTTGCATTTTTATATGAAATTTTAGGGCCAGCTGGTCAAATTCTCCAAAAAAATAAAAATAAAAGGATTGCTTCAATTCTGTAGATGAATTTTGGGAGTATCACCATTTTAACAGTATTAAGTCTTTTGACCCATGAACACAGAATGTATTTCCATTTATTTAGATTTTTTAAATTCCTTTAAGTGATGTTCTTTTGGATTTCTTTTTATCTGTTTTTTTCTACTCCTAAAATATTTTGTTTTGTTAAGGATCTGGTTTATAATCCAGTTGGGACAAGAAAATGAAAGAAGGGCACGGTTGAGATAGATTTGGTTGAGATACATTCTGTGTTCTAAATTAGGTCTGGAGGCTTTATTATGATGCCAAGAATGACTTGTCTGAGCATTCTTAAACCCTAGGTCAGATTACCACCAGGCAGTATTGTAACTCCGTTCTTTGAAACAGTTTGAAAACAGAAGTATTGCTTATCTCTCTTGGGCTGTTCTGATTCTGAGAGGTAAACCAATTAACCTTTAGGAGCACCAGATAACTCCAGGAATTTATCCTATTTAAGTTTTAAAATTTATCTTTATTTTATTCTTTGAATATATTTAAAATAAAAAGAATACCAAAAGGCTTATAGTGACAAGTCTTCCTCTTATCCCTATCCCCATGTACCCAATCACCCTTCAGTTTTTATATAGCTTTCTATAATTTGTTTATATATATACCAAATATGAATATATTATCCTTTAATCTTATCAGAGGACAGAATCCATGCTAATTGAGCATTTATAAGAAATTATAGTAAGTAGGTTTTACACAGATTTTTAAACTAATCAGCACGTGATCAATTTGGGTATTCATCTTAGTATAAGTGGAAACGTCTCCCTTAAATGAGTTAGCCGAAAGTTTTCTTCTGCACACCAGTAAAATTCTCTTATTGCATGGCAGGGAGGCTATTTGAATCAGGTTTGAGCACCCTCTGCACAAGAGATTCTGGCAAATACCCACATGATGGGACTACTTGTCAGAACCTCTTGCTGCTTGTGAGAAAATAGCTAGAGCATAGGTTTGTTCTAGACTGAAGTTATGGGCAAATGCTCTATGACTCTGGCTGAATCCCATACCAGATTCAGATACAATGTATGTTCTATACATAGACCTCAGCCTAAATCATTATATTTTTCCTCTGTGTATATAAAATTTTCAATGCAAATTAACATACCTCACTAGAAACCTAAAAAAAAAAAAATTAAATGTCAAGGTTTATGGAAGACAGAAATATTGGCCAAAATATACAGCTTTTAAAAACATTTTCATCATATATGCATGTCACTTCATTTTCATTCCAACCCATATTATTAATTTTCTTTTCTTTTCCAAGAAGCTGTCTATTAAAGATATGGCTGACTTTCCTGTCCCTACCCAAGATGTGACTGGCGATGACAAACAAGGTATGTAAAGAATGAGTTTTCTTCCTTTAGGAACATTTTTTTGTGTATTTTTTTATCTACTTCTCTTGGAATGGCTGGTTTCTAGAGTGTATGAAGACTGTTCTCAGTATATGAACACATTTGGATGGATTAAGTTGTTCAGTTGTTGTCACCGAACTATAGTTCATAAGGCAGTAATAAGCTTGAGTGTCCAAAGCACTTCAGTTACGACCCTGTACTTACAGCTGATCCTCAGGCTACTCTGACACCTTATATTGGAATCTGGCCGTACTGATTAGGAAATGACTAGAAGCTGAATGGTTTGAGAACATAACATCTTGTGTTGGCAGGTGTGATCCCAGAATATCAATATAAATGTACATTTGCACACAGATCTAACCGTCGAGGAAGTTACCTTCTGGAGAGAGAGTTTCTGTCCCTGGGCTTTATTCTCTGTGACTTTGTGGGTGTTGGGCTGTGACGTGGAGCCCAGCAACAATTTCCTTATCTTAGTGGATGGGTGAGAGCATTGCAGCACAGTGTTGCTTGTTATAGCTAGCATCAAGCACAGGGATGACTTGGCTTGGCACTGTCTAGAAGAGAAGGAAGAACACCCTACTTCCTCCCATGCTTCTGTTATAATGCTTTCTAAGCTATTGAGCCCTTCCTTATGCACTGCATTATTCAGTCCTCACAGAATTGAATGGAGGCTGATATATTTTATCGCCTAAAATACATAGATGCTTAAACTCAGATTCAGGCAGTATGAATCATTTACCCAGTAAGAAAAAGAGCAGCAGTAAGAAACAAGATTTTCTAATTCTCAAGCCAGTATCCCTTCTATTGGACTGTAGCCCACCAGGCTCCTCTGTCCATGGGATTTCCTAGGCAGGAATACTGGAGTGAGTTGCCATTTCCTTCTCCAGGGGATCTTCCTGACCCAGGGATTAAATCCAGGTCTTCTGCCTTGTAGGCAGATTCTTCACTGAGCCAACAGGGAAACAATTACAATAATTGCATGCTCTCTATTTCAGTGTTTGAGCAGGAGGGGCAGGCAGACCTGGACATTATCTATAGCATTATCTATAACTTTCTTTACTAGTGGATCTTAGCCTTAAATGCCCATTGGAATAACCTGGCGAGCTCTAAAAATCCTGAAGCCTGGCTGTCACTCCCAGAGAGATCCTGATGTCTTTGCTTGGGAAAAAATGGGGAATTTTGATATTTCCTGGTAATACTCTCCCAAGCCACTGGTGGCATTCTCTCTGGAACATTGAAAATACGTCTTTATTCTCTGTAGGAGTAGAGTCCATTATCATACCCTAGGAGGCTTTTATTGTTTTAGTAAGTGCTATAGCAACTTATAGGTATATAGAATACTGTTTTCATTAAGTGATAACTTGGAATTCTTTGTTTTAATGTGACATGCTTTAGATATAATTTTTTTTCTTTTCTCTTCTTTTCTCTCTCTTGTGCTTTAAAAACAAAACACTGCTAGCTTTGAAGAGTGCTACTGATGAAGCCTTACCAAAGGACATGTCTGAGGATTCAGGTAGGATAAAACCAATTTAATATATTTTAAATGTAATTATTTCTTAAAAAAAAAACAGCCCTGTAGTTTCAATGAGAAGACTGGCACATTTGTGATTTTATATATATATATACACACACACACATACACACATATATATGTATATTTCTTTCCAAATATTTGCTGTGTGTTTTATACTAAGGAAACCTTTTGGTTTCTTTTTTACTCCTTCGCTCTTCTTAGGTATGAGAAGTGGGTGGTTTCTTTGTAAGTTCTAAATATAGTTTTCACTGAAAGGATCTCTCAGTTTGAATTGAGGGTCCCATTGTCACTAAGTGTAAAGTTGGGAAGACTTTAATTTGGGAAGATTTCAATAAGCCATTGTGATTTCTCTGTAGAGTAAGGAGCTGATGGAGTGGATCAACGGGAGGCTCATAGGTGAAGCTTTCCATTTCCAAAATAAAAATCTCAAATATTTTCATTATACTTCACCACCAGGAAAGCAGGTAAATGTGTTTATACACGGAGTAGATTCCATGGAGAAAAATAAAAGTTGTGTTTGCCCAGGTTTTTGGAGAGTCAGGACTGTGTCTGTGAACCATGGAGATGACTGGGCCTGTGTCCTTAGCTTTCTCGATGGAGCTGTCATTGAACCAAGATGAACGTAGTTTAGAACATACTGGCTAGGGATGTTTGTAGCTCTGGTTATAGGGACATGAAAGAAGTTGCTCCTTTCTCATTTATTGTTTTCTCTTTTAATATTTAATAAGCAAATCATGTTTGTTTCAGTTAGCTAGCTATCATCCAGGCTTTATTTGTTAAAGTTAGAACAAAGGAATCAATATTTCGAGGTTTAGTAGTGTATTTCCCAAACATCAAGTTCATTTAAGGTTTAAAAGAGAGATGGGTAGAGATAGAGAAAGGAATGAGGAGCGAGGGAGAGAGGAAGAGGGAGATGGAGGAAGAGAGAATGAATATGAATGAGAATATATAATTGATTACAGTGATGAGGCCTAGGAATCTGTATTTTCAGACAACCCCCCGGGGGATTCTAGTGTTCAGCCTATTTGGGGAACCACTACCTCTCAAAAGCAATGTTAAGAAATAGGAAATTAAGATTGTAAATTAACTGTGACTCCAAAAATGGTAGGAATTTTCAAGTTGTGTTTTGGTTTTTGGAACTGATTCAAGTTCCTTCATCATGGGGGAAATGCTCTATTTGTATAGCACAATCACCCGACATAGGTTCCTTCCAACTCTAATTTTTGGAAATGAAGTGGATATGTCCCAGTTTTTGTAAACTTCCTGTTATGGTATTAATAAATGCTATTTAAATTTGGAGAGTTAAATTGTGCTTCTCCAACAACCTTTTTGGCTTATAACTCTTCCTGTTTATTTCCATGAGCATTCTGTGTTCTCTGGGGCAGGAGTTTGGATGTCATTTTCAACATTTCTTCATTGAATAGGGTTTGCATCCATCACCAGCCAGAGCCTATCAGGGTATATGTGCCACAGTGTGTAAAGTATATCTGAATTTGTTTCACATTCTGCCTGGGAGCATGCTGTGTGGTTTCTGATTTGTTCTTTGCTGCCCTTTCTGGAGTGGCTATGAGGGAATACCTCATCTGAAAGCTTATTTAATACCCAGGGAACGTTTGGATTCTTAGTGAAAGACAGGAGTATCAAGGTGGTAGTTTCTAATTCTGGAGGCTTTCCATACCATGTTAGCAGTTCACCTTGATTGAGTTGCTGTCTTTTGGAGAATTAAACTTTAGGCTTGCCTTCCTGTCCTGTTTCTGTTTCCTGGAAGGGTGACATGCCTGGGGTGTTCTAAGAAATTCTCATTCTTCTTCTCTCTGCCCAGCTCAGTGAGAAGCTATGATTTGCCTGTGGTCTTCTGCTTGGATTCTGACACAGCCTGCCCTCACCATTTTTGCAGGTGTTCACATGCTCCAAATGCTGGGTCCGATTTTCAGGGGCTTGGAAGCCGATGGAAGACTTAACTAGAATTGTGTTCTCCAGCTTTTTCTGATCTGGAGCCTGTTAGGACTCACCAGCCCTGCCTGGGATCTCATTTCCCACTTCCACCCTTCCTTCCGCAGAGGGTGGTGATAACCATGATAATAGTAATGGCAGTGAAGAGAATGTTGTGGCTTATAGATGGGATGGGACTGTATCATCAGGGAGTGGGGTATTCCTTGGTATGTAATTTTTCTCTTAGGCTCTTACCCTTATAATTGCTGAGTGTGTGTATAGTAGTAGAATCTGATGGATTTCTTAGCTAATGTCACATTCCAGCCTAATGCACCACGGCCATCTTTTTCTGTGTGTCTCCGCATCATGCCAAGGGTGTTGCACCTGCTTGTCCTCACACTGTAGCCTTCAGCCTGCTGTTGGTGTTTCTTGCAGTTGCCACCCTGATGGTCTTAAGCGGCAGAGCTTTTCTCTCCTTCCACTCCCTGCACCCACTTGTATCTCCTTTGCTGTCTTAGAAGAAACTAAATTTTGAAGCCAAATTTCTAAGCTTAAAAAATTAAGGGCACTGTACAAGAGTAATATTTTGCAATTCTAGAACACAGTTTTTAAAGTGCTTTCACTTTCTTATCTCTCTGTGTGAGAAAGGGGCTTCATTTTTATTCTCTTCATTCTGTAGGTGAGGAGACTGAGGTTCAGAGAAACCACAGCTAGTGAATGTTGCAGCCAGGAGGAGTTGGCCTAGTCTCTAACCCTCAGCCACCCCCCTCACCCCATCTGTCTGCCTGTCTATCACCAACAGGATTCCTGCTCCTTCCACACCCCAGCATAAAGACAGATAGTGGCCATGGACAAAGGAATTAACAAGTTACCATGGTCTGGTTTGGGTAACAGTCTTTTAACATGACCTAGACTTCTCTGACGGAGAAGGCAGTGGCAACCCACTCCAGTACTCATGCCTGGCAAATCCCATGGATGGAGGAGCCTGGTAGGCTGCAGTCCATGGGGTCGCTAAGAGTCGGACATAACTGAAGTGACTTAGCAGCAGCAGCAGCAGCAGCAGCAGACTTCTCTGACTCACACATTTCTGGGAAGCAGTGGGGCCAGAGCCAGCCATGGTGAATGGAGTCCCACTGTTGGCCCAGCTCCCAGGCAGCTTGCTGGGCTGGAGGAGAGGCTCTCTTGGGCCACTATTCTTTGCCGCCCAGGGGCCTGGAGGAGGAGAGGTGGTTGTCTGTCCTCGAGCAGGTGCCACTGTGGGTGCATGAGACCCAGCAAGGCAGGTTCACATTGCTCGGCCTCCCACACTTCTTGGGGCTCTGGCAGCCTTCCGGTGGTTTATAGTCCCAAGGTGGCTGTGTCCTCACTCCGAGAAGCCAGGGTGCTGTGCTTGGCAGGAACGCGTGTCTTCCACAGCTGACCATGCGAAGGGAACGTTGTTCCTGGTTTGCTTCGTGCCGTGGTAGCATCTCAGTTCCCCATTTCTGCCCTGCTTAGCTAACCTAAGGACTTTAAGGGCTCCCTGGAAGCTCAGTGCTAAAGAATCTGCCTGCAATGCAATTGATATCTGGATTGGGAAGATCTCCTGGGGAAGGAAATGGCTACCCACTCCAGTATTCTTGCCTGGAGAATCCCATAGACAAAGGAGCCTGGTGGGCTACGGTCCATGGGATTGCAAAGAGTCGGACATGACTGAGCGACTAACACTTTCACTTAATGATCGTCAGAAATCCAGCATGCTTCCCACCAAGGAAGGTTTTTATCTTTGGAGTAATGTAAAAGAGGATGACATCATGCAATGAAACATTTTCTTTCTCATTATTCCCAACAACTTACGATGGGAAAGTAGGCTTTATGTGTGTTGGTAGTGAGCAAGCTAGTTTATGATTTAATTTGGGGAAGGAAAAGTTGTCTGGTTGACAAAATATATTCCATAATACTCTCTGTATAATTTGAAACACAAAAATATTTTCTTATGGGAAAAACTGCATAGTTCATTTCAGCTTAATTGTGGGAGCTTTGATTTCTTGTGGTCATGCTGTCCTGGTGGTGTATTTTTAAGAAAACCTTAAAAATATGTAGCCTGATAGATTTCTTCCTAGCCTTCAGGGAAGACTGTTTCAAAATCTGTTATTATTTAATACTTGACTATCATGATAGACCAAGAAACCCTCAAGTCTGAACCCATCATTGTATAAATAGATAACCTCTTGAGGGAGTTGTCTTTTTAGACTGGAATTTCTTCATTAGCCAGCTTCGATTTAAAAATGGCTTTGTGGCTAGTGCTCTGATGAAAGGAAAAATATGTTGCTTTTTCTTTCCTGTGAATTATGCCTTTAGCTTTAGAAATAAAATTATGGAATCACAAACATGTGGAAGTGGTCAGGTTTTCCACAGGGATATTTGTACCTCACGTTTACTGTTGATGTGTTCTGTACTAGCCCAGGTGCTGCTTATAAACCTGTTTAACTGCAGACATGAAACCCAAGCAAACAGCAAATAATCTTTGTTTCAGCCACTCCTAAGGATTCCAACAGTCTCAAAGCAAGACCAAGATCCAGGTAGTGTTTGTTTAACTTTCTGCTTTAATGCCCTTTGTGCCCTCTCCCTGACGTAAATCTCCCAACAAAAACCTAACCCACGATCCCCTCTTCCCTTCAGTTTGACACTTAGGCTGTAGGTGAGTTCACTGTCTCTAGGGGCCTGACTGGAGCCCGCAGTACTCCTGGGGAGGCTCTTAGTTTCTGTGTTTACTGGTGCTGGAAGAGGGGCTGCAGCTCTTTGGCAAGCTGACATGAAGAAGGGGGCCATGTGACATGACCCAGTTGCTGCAGGATGATAACGAATAGTGGGAAAGTACCTTTGGAAAGAGGGAAATATGGCTAAAAGGTAACTAACACTGAAATGTCCTGTCATGACAAGGTTAACACCAAAAAATAAGAAGTCTGAGTATAAAATCTAGAGTAGGGAATGAAAATGCTCTGGCGATTTCAGTGAGCTCAAAACTGCAGGTAAGCAGTGTTTGCGGATTGTTTCATCCTGTTAGAGTCTGTTTTCAGCTTCATATTCACTGAGTAAGGAGAGGCTAGAAGCAAAGGGAGAGTCATCAGATAGTAGATAGGAGGAGTGAAGAGGAATACAGAGATGCTGATAGAACTCCTAGAACCTCAAGGAGGGGACATGGTGTTGAGATTATTGTTCACCAGTAGACTGCAGTGGGAGATGGGATGCTGCTTGTGTGTTTTCCAAGTTTTGCTTTGACTCTCAATGACTTTTTCCCCTCCTTTGGCTACTAGATGTGTTCCTGAAAAGGTGAATTTAAATATGATTATATTTTGTATGCTTGAAATACTGCCATTTAAGGAATTCTGGTCTCCTTGTAAGTCAAAGAATTACACCTTAGTTCATCTTTTATATCTGGATTTTCCAAGTTAGAGTTTTGCTTCCTTGTTTATAGAAGGTACAGATACCTATGTTCATATTTGTTAAAGCAAATATGTACAAGTAATAGATACATTTAACAGATATGAAAGTTCATATTTGTTAAAACAACAGGTCCAGTAATTTTTGGTAGAAAAAAGGGTATAGTCCCTGTTTCTCTCTATGGCCACCACATCTACTCATCCTGTTTTTAAAGGATGAAGGGATCTTTTACAAATTACTCTGTACTGGCTCTAGGATGTAGGAGTAGTAACATTTGTCTGCCTTTATAGTAGACAAATACTTCTCTGAATGGCAGAACTTGACCCTCATAGTTTTTTTTTTATTCTGCTAGCTTCCTCTGTGTCTCTCAAAGCAAGTGAAATGACAAAATCTCAATCACACATTCTATTATTAATATTTTGCCTAAATTTTGTATATGATTCTTTCAGGGATTGTCCTCTTGGTTTAATTTGGATGTTGTTATTTTCACTACACCCAGCAAGGTCTTTATTGAGACCGTGAGAATCAAATTATTTGAACCCTCCTGTTTAGAATAACAAAACTTTTTAGAAATGTAAGGGGAAGGGAAATCACCCTTCTAATACTGCTACATTCATTATTTTGTTGAGTCCCTGCACATTCATATTTTAATTGGCTGCATTCATAGTTTTATAGTATCACTTATTGAATATTCATTTACCTCTCTGTATAAAAATATAAATACACAGGTTATATATGGAAGTAAAATGAAATAAGATACATAGTATGAGATTGTGTGCTCAAGTATATGTATATGTGTGTATATATACCTGCACACGATTTATACATACCACATTATTTTGTCTTTCTTGAGTGAAAAATGTCACTAGAGCTGTATCTGTCATTGAAAGTTCTTTCTAGCTAGGGTCCCTAATTTCCTTTTTTAATCAGGAGTTCCCACTTGAAAACTTTGTTGCCCTTTTCTGTGGATTCTCTTTTATTCTGGTTGAAAGGATCAGAGCATGCTTCCTGTTAGTTCTTGCCTGCCTTTGCCTTGTGTGTCTTGCAAGTTGTGTTAACAAGGATCACTGCAAGAGCATATCACATGTCATTATGGTGGCTTTATTAAAGTTTGCAGCCTTGCATGATGAGCAAAACTCTGGACTGCATAGAAGCTTTGAGGAAATTATTCAGGAAAATAAGAACTTGCTGTGTCAAAGCTAGCTTTACCAAGAATTGAAGTTGCTTAAAAGTAATGAATAGATTCTAATTTCCTGAGTGCTACTGTAATAGCTAAATATCAAGGCAATTTCCTGAGGCTAATTTGTCTCTAGGACACATCTGACTCAAAGGTCATTTTCTTCTTTGGCATGAAGTTAGCTCAGAAGCCGAACTGAACAGACATAAGATGTATATATGCACTTCTTAGAAAACCATATTGGGAACTCATCGACATAGTCCTCAGCAATAGACTAATGTACTTAGTTGAGTTAATTTAGAAAATAAGCAGGACTCTAATAAATAGTTTACCTGCTCCTGTCCAGAGGTTTCTTCCCTGGCTCATAGACAGTGTCAAAGCATTTTAAAAATGGAATTTAGAAACTGAGATTGGAGTTTGAATGAAATGTATGTAAGTTGCTAACTTACCAAGTTTCTTTTTCATTAAATGCCATTAATTGGAATTATAATCTTAGAAATTGCCTAGTTAGCTCCTGCCTTGTTACAGATGGAGCAAGAGAGAAGGTTAAGAGGATGCTTTTGCTTTGAAATTTTCCCCAAACCTATGTTTCTCATGATAAGACACCCAAGGCCCCTCAATCTGATTGATGTGTGTTTTCCTTTCCTGAATTTCATTTGTGGCATATTCCATTGAACATTTGGTTCTTCTTTTCAGCTTATCTGTCCCAGTTCCATATGTGCCTGTTATCACATTTACATGTAAACAGGAGTCAGGTTCTGTGGTCAGTTAATACCGTGAAGCCCTTCTATTAAAATATAGATGTACCTAACCAGATGCATTGACATGTCATTGTTATTAACAATTCCAATCAAAATGGATTTGATTTTACAGAAAGTGTTTCCTCTTGGGTAAGTTTAGGTCTAAGGTGTAATAAGAGCAAAGAGGTTAAAAAAGGTTGTGACTCGGGTGGGGGTTGGGTGCTTGTTGCAGCTGGTGTGGCATTGAGGGGGCAGCAGGGACATGGCCTCTCTGGGAGCTTCACAGGCCTTAGCAGTCACTTAGACTTTTGTGGGTATTTTCCATTTCAGCCCAACTTCAGAGAGTGAAGCTTTGCTGTTTCCCTTTTGACCTTCCCTTATTTTGCTGCAGATCTTACTCTAGCACCTCCATAGAAGAGGCCATGAAAAGGGGCGAGGACCCTCCCACCCCGCCACCGCGGCCACAGAAAACCCATTCCAGAGCCTCCTCCTTGGATCTGAATAAAGTCTTCCAGCCCAGTGTGCCAGGTGAAGTGCCCTTCTGCACGCCAACCCTTCCCTTTCCTTTTGGAGTCAGTGGATGGGTGTCGCCACAGAGGTCTCTATGGGTCCAGAGAATGAGCAGACCAGGCCCAACTGTCCTTCATGTGGCTGGGGTGTCCTTAGGTAGGAAGGCCTTTCTAGGCACATAGATACTGTGTGTCTGGAGCCTTGCCTACATTCACAATGGACCAGAAATTACAGAATTCTGTACCCAGAGGATTAAAATGCTTCATCCCCAGACAGCCCACTGAATGTTTGGCCAGGGTCTTGTTCTTTGCATCATGGTAATTTGTGTCCAGGATTGCCATCTGTTGTTTCCTCAGATGCTTATGCTGTTCTGTGAAAGGTCTCGGTGATTATTGCCTGGCCAGAATATTCTGCATTTTATCCTTTTGGTGAAGATCCTGTGTCCTCCAAGTGTTAATGCTAAGGGGGCCTCTGCTTTCTAAGTGACCGATGGTTAGGTGTTTGGTGTAGGTATCTAAGGCAAGGGCTCCTTCAGGTGGGCTGCTCTGGAGCTTCTGGGGATGGGACTTGCTCAAGTCAGCTGCTGTACAGCTGGAGCAGGGGGATTGGGGTCATGTCCACTCCCCTGGCACCCTGTGAAAAGGGGCTATCCTCCTGGGGAGACGGTGGAAGTGCCAATGGGAGCCGTACCTTCAAGGGAGCGAAGATGCTAGCATACAGGGCTATCCAGAGTGTTATTTTGGGAGCCACAAGGGCCTTTCCATTGACTACTACAGGCAAACTATAAATGCAATAATTTCCTGGAACTTTTTTCTATATCTCTGTGCATTTTTAATCAACCTCAGATGCTAGTGATTTGCAGGTGGTTATCCATTTGACTAAAGCAAGAAAAGACTCTCCTTGACTCACACATTAGCATGATCCCTGTGTCCTGACAGAGCTCAGCATGTTTTATTTATTCTAATAAACTACTCTCCTCACAGAAAAGTTACAGATTGTTTTTTAATATACTAGAATCTGGAAGTCTCTATGAAATTTGATTCTTTGCCATGAGTTCATCAGATAAAAATTTGTCTTGAATTTTCCCCCATACTTTGATCTAAATTCTGGCATAATTTCATAGTAACTGGTATTTGGGGTGGGAGTAGGCACAGATGATGATGCTATAAAAATTTCACATGGCTCTGGTGGATGAAGACCTAGAAGATTTTTCTATGGATGCAGGATTATTAAAACAATCTGGGAAGCTATCTCCATACATTTTCCTTGAGAGGAGAGAGGCTAGAAATTGCCCCCTCCCTCAGGCTATATCTTTCCCCATGAGGAAAAGACTGTGCTGGAGAATGGACGGGCCATGGCCTTTATGATGTGGCACCCTAGAGTGGGAGAGAGAACACTTAATTTGGAGTCCAGCCCAGCTACTTATCAACTATTTGATTTTTAGCAAGTAGCTTAATCTTTTCTGTATCTCAGATTCCTAATCTGAGAAACAGGGCCAACTGTCCAGAGAATCAATGGGATGTTGATGAGATAATAGACATCATCCAAGTAGTGCCATGTTTAGGCCCTAGACTCTCGCTCCTACCGAAGGCCAATGAGGAGAGAGGGTCTGAGGAAGGTCCCTGACTCCCTGCCCCCGGTGGGACAGTTGTGTGACTCATTCTCCACAGTGCCTGGGATGGCTCGCAGAAGGACCAAGCCTCGGTGGCCTGTGGCAGTCACCTGTTCATTAACAGCTTCTCTGGGCTCACTGCCTTGCTCCCCTGTTGTGCTTGCCCTGCGCCTACATCAGATGCCTGTTCCTGAGAATTTACACAGCTTCTCTTTACATCTCTGATGTTGATACAACTTCAAGGGAAAAGCATTTTGGTTTGATAAATGCCAAATAGTTAGATGGGTGACATCTGTATTCGTAAATTAATTCCATTATCTTTCTAGTACAGATTTACACAAATGAAATTTTAATGGGCAGTTTAAATTGATCACATGAGGAACAGAGCATTTCTGTAGTATGACAAGCAGGGGACACCATTGCACCTACTTAATTTGTTTGCATGTGTGTTAATTCCCACAGGAAAGAACAAAGGTCTGTCTCAACTCTGTGTAATTTTAGTGTATTCCCTGTTGCTAGAAATTACTTATTAAAATTTCTGACAGTTTAGAAAAACACAGGATAGAGTCTAAACCAGTTACCATAGCACCCTTAGTGAGAACCGTGGTTCTCTTATAGTCACCCTCTGCTGCATTTGTCTTTATGTGTCACTAGCTAAGCTTGGTCACACAGTTTTTGCTGTCATGTATCCTGAGCTTCCTCATCAACCCTCTTTCAACTTTTGTTTCTTTGTGCCTGTGTGATGCGGATGTATGGTGGTGGCAGTGGATTGCACCCCATGGGGGTTACTCTCTCCCCGTCTGCCCCATCCCCTGCCTCCTCCTTATCTCTTCCTCACATCCCCCTCATGTGTACTCTCCTCACTCCTTTCTCATGGGATCCTTTGTGAGCCTCTCCCTTTCCCCTCAGTGTTTACTCCTGCTCCCCTCTCCTCCCCTCCCCTTTTAGCTTCTCTCCTCCCCTCACCCCTTCAAAGGTGTGGGCCTCTTTTTCCCAGGCTCCCCCTATCCTCTCTCTACCCTCTTGTCATAAACAAGGCAGAGGTTAATAATGACTTGGTAGCTATATCTTTGTTTCCTTGTGTACTTATTTTCTTTGGCTGAAGTCAGAGATGCTGACTCAAAGGCCATATACCTTTGAAGTGTAAATACACATTGCCAAACCGTGCTGTCAGAAACTTGTACCTATCAACTTATCCCACCTGTAACATTGTCTGAGAGTGTGTCCTCACACCCTTACTAGCACTGGCTAATGTTCATCTTTTTAATTGTTACCTATTTAATGGGCAAATGTCTGCATTTCCTTGATTCCTAGTGAAGCTAAACATCTTTTCATATCATTATCAGACATTAATATTTATTCTTTTGTGAATTGCTGTATGGAGGCACACTTAGCTTCTGGTGTTCCTGCTCTGTACCTAATCACAGTGACCACTTGTCTCCTCTTCATTTTTCCTATGAGATTCTGGGTCTGTCTTATCTCAGACACTTGGGAGTGTGAAGATGACCCTGGAGAAGCTAAGCTGATTTGTTCCTTCATGGGGTCCATGTCCTCCCAGTCCCCAGTACCACATCTTTTGGCTAACTTTATCACTTAAGACAGACTCTACCTAGGCCATGCTAAATTTATAACAATAGAAGAATAAGAAAAAGTAAAGAAAATAAGGAAAGATAGTGTACCTCTTGAGAGATCTGTTTGCAGGTCAGGAAGCAACAGTTAGAACTGAACGTGGAACAACAGACTGGTTCTAAATAGGGAAAGGAGTATGTCAAGGCTGTATATTGGCACCCTGCTTATTTAACTTATATGCAGAGTACATCATGAGAAACGCTGGGCTAGAAGAAGCACAAGCTGGAATCAGGAAGAGGATGAGATGGCTGGATGGCATCACTGACTCAATGGACATGAGTTTGAGTAAACTCTGGGAGTTGGCAATGGACAGGGAGTCCTGGCTTGCTGCAGTCCATGGGGTCGCAAAGAGTTGGACATGACTGAGTGAATGAACTGAACTGAGTGTGCAATGAAATAAGATGTAAACTTGAGTTGAAAGGGACAGATAAAATGAAGCCAGTGTTTTTAAAACTGAGGATCACAGGACTGTGAAAAACACAGTGAATGAGGATAAGTTGCTGAGTCAGAGTAGCCTAGAGTGTAGTGACAGTGCAGAGAAGAAAAAGGATGGAACGAAGATGCAAAGAAGCAAGAATGAGAGCAGGAAATGAAGGAAAAGGTGAGATGGTTGTTGTATAGGAGTGATGATGTTTATACAGAGGGTGAAGCAAATAGGATAAGAGCCTGTAGAGACCAAGGGGAGGAGAGTCTGCAGACTCAGTTTAGGATTCAGATAGTAGTCAGAGGATTCTTGGGAAGGAAGGAATAACTCGGAAGTGGGTGGTATTAATGCCTTCAAATTTATGATGATAGGTAACATGATATAGAGAAGAATAATGAAGGACTGATTTATATTGTGAGTTTATAGAAATGAATGAGCTCAACTCTGGCAGCAGGTGACAGTTGGCTTTAATTTGGTGTCTATGAAGAGGATGTGAGCATGTGATTTATAGGATTCTGGACTATCTTAGAGCTCCAGATAGATAGGTGCTGGCATTATACCTAAAACATGTGTTTTCATAGGAAGAAGTTGACATAATAGGGTCACTGTGTGGAAAAGGGTACTCACCTTTGTCACAGCTGTTCCAGGCCTTGGATCCATCCTTTTGCTGTCCCATGCAGCTGCTCTGTTAGAAAAAAAATGTACAAGAAGATCTAAGGAAGTGATGATGCAAGTGTACAAAATCTAGAGGCAGTCAAACCCTGGACTTCCTCAGTGAGGTTTAGATTTTATAGCTCTATACTTAGAGCCATGAAACATATGTCATTGTTCAGTCGCTCAGTTGTGTCTGACTCTGCAACCCCATGGACTGCAGAATGCCAGACTTCCCTGTCCTTTACCATCTCCAAGAGCTTGCTCAAACTCATGTCCATTGAGTCAGTGATGCCATCCAACCATATCATGCTCTGTTGTCCCCTTCTCTTGCCTTCAATCTTTCCCAGCATCAGGGTCTTTTCTAATGAGTCGATTCTTCACATCAGATGCCCAAAGTATTGGAGAGTCAGCCTCAGCATCAGTCCTTCCAATGAACATTCAGGACTGATCTCCTCTAGGATTGACTGGTTGGATTTCCTTGTATTCCAAGGGACTCTCAAGAGTTTTCTCCAACACCACAGTTCAAAAGCATCAATTCTTTGGTACTCAACCTTCTTTATGGTCCAACTCTCACATCTGTACATGACTACTGGAAAAACCTTAGCTTTGACTATACCAACTTTTGTCAGCAAAGTAATGTCTCTGCTTTTTAAATGTGCTGTCTAGGTTGGTCATGGCTTTTCTTCTAAGGAGCAAGCA